ATAAAGCTTGAATTGATGAGCTATTTTCTTAGAACCTACACATTATATTCATTTACTATGTTAGAAATAAAACCAATATAGAAAAAATGATAAACTATAAGTAATTTTTTAAGTTTAAAATTCTGATATAAAAAAATTGGGTAAATTTTTATATGTATTAATATCATTATTTACGCTAAGATGTTTCTTTAAATTATTATTTAGATAATTCAAATATGTCGATCCTAATCAACGAATTTCTTACCTATACTATTTTTTTGTATTTATATTTAAATCATAAACGTAAACGTTTACTTACGAGTATACCTACGTGTATCCAATTGGGAGTGATTTTTTATTAAGAAGGATATAGAATATTTTTCTATACAGAAAATTAAAGTGCAGTGAAATAAATTCTTTATAATTATCATTAGTAGATCCGATCCGGTTCGTTTTATTTATGCAAATACGAACAGTTTTATTTTGTAATGACATATGCCGTTAAACGTTTTCACAGAGAAACCACTTCATATAATTATGCCATATTGTAGAAAAGACCAATAAAGAGAAGTAAATATAAACAATTTGTATTATGTTTGAGAATAGAATCTTTTCAAAAATAATAACATGTTGATATTTAGTGTATGAAAGTTCCATTTCATATTACGATCGAACATAAATATCTAACTTTTGTTACCCTCTTAATTTTTAAATTACTTGGACCATTAGTTTTACTATAATCATTACATAGTATTATTTCCTGATTTGAAAACTGTGTTTTGTTATACAAAGAAAAATCGATAAATACTGTTTCATTGTAATTTACGGTAATTTTTTTTTTTAATTAAGATTTAGAATGAATCTATTTAATTCAAAACTTGCTTAACTAAACACCAGATCACATGTATTATAAGTAAACAATAAACAAGTATCGTCTTAATGTGTAACAATAGAGCTATTAATTTAAATGTTACATAAATTCTTAATTTACATAATAAACAAAACGAAACCAAGCACAATACCTTGCGGTGCACCACAGTTTATACAACATTTGTTACTTATATACCTAGTCAATGCCGGATTAAACATTTGTGAGCCTCCAGGCAATAAAAATGTTGAGCCCTACAAAATTATTTTTTACATATATCCTTAACATTATAATCCAATAATTAAAATGAACAGCTTTAATAGTAACCAACTATTATCAATAAATAAAATCATGTTTATTACATTTTTTTATTTGCAAGAAAAAATTAATTAATTATATTATTATTCCTATTTTTTTTTTCAAAATAATTGTATTATTATTACTGCATATAACACCTACAATTTAATATATATTATATTTCAAAATAACTTTTGTTCCGCAGGGGCGGACTGGCCTGGCGGGACAGTGGGACAAATCCCGGTGGCCCGTTACAATAATAGATTAAATGGTCTGATAATATTTTAGAAATTAAAAATATAGTATGATGATATTTTAATCGACAGAATTGGAGAAACTAGTGAAGTTATGAAAAAAATACCTAATTATGTAAAAAAGGAATTACTTTAAGAGTAAATTTTAATAAATAGGTATTATATTAAAATGTGTACACTGTATTTATAAAAAAAATATCTTATATATTATGTGTAATTTTATACGAGTATATCTATATAAAAATGCTGAAAATATTTTTTTAAATAATAAAGGTTTTTTATCATTATTATTATTATTATTATTTTTTTTTTTTTGATACTTATGACCAAATCGTTGGTTCCCTGTTAATTTTTGACTTGGCAAAAAAAAATTCACGGCCTGAAATATTAACCCAGTCCACCCCTGTTGTCCCGTAAATTCGTAAATAAAATATAGTTATTATTTTATATAATAAAAAACATAGTTTTCCGTTTTCACAGGTCCCTTTAAATGAGTGAAGCCCTAAGTAAAGCGCCTACTTCTCCTAATGGGTGATCCGGCACTATACCTAGTCATTTATAAATATATATTGTGTTATATTTTTAAAATATCTTGAAAACCATTTAAAACTTTTACTAACAGCTCCAAGACCTGGCGAATAAATTGATAACTGATTATAGTTGACAATTTCGAAAGCTTTTGCAAAATCCAAAAAAATCTGGAATAGATTTTAAACTGTCATCAAGTGCATGATGTAGAAATATTTTTAAATGAGTGCATCGGTAGTTCTTAATCTTTTTTTTTTAATCAAATTAATATTTAACAGTTTGATTAATAATGGAGAATAAATGTCTAAATTTATATTTAGTCTAATTAAAGTAATTATTATTAAAGTATTATTATACTCGTATATGTATACAATTATTATTATTTTCATTTTAATTTCAACATATTTTATAAATTAAAACGCAATTATTAATTACGCAATATTATATGATTATAATTTATTTACAAATAATCCTAAGTTATAAAGCTATAAAAAAAGCTAAGAAGCTAAAAAAAAGTAGTGTGTTCTACGATAAATGTAGACATCAAAAAAGGTTCCACGGATAAAAAAGTTTAGGAAACGCTGCTCTACGTGATAATTAATTATTATTATTGAGATCAATTTTAGATAGACTTTTAGGATGTATACTCGTCAAAAATAATTAAGATACATTTGTCAGGAAGACCTTAGAACGTATAGATTCGTGACATAAAAATTACATGTTATAGTTTTAATTATAATTGTTTTATAATTAGTAAGAAAAAACTTGGTAGGGGGATGATCCTTTAAAATCTACCCTCAGAAAAATCATGCTTATACTGATTTACCTTAATTGAAACTATTTATAGGACACACTTTTTCTCGATTTGTGTCCGTATTGCTTCTGGGTTATTTTTTACGCGACGACGTATTTTTAATTTTTAATTTTAAAAAAGGAAAAACTAATAACATTATATACATATCCGTATTAATAATGCACGCTAAGCATTAATTATTTCATATTTATTTCATTAGAACTTTTATTTAAAGTACAAGTATCAATCAATTAAAGTAGACGCACATCAATAAAGGTTTTAAATGGTTTTCTCTTGTACAAAAATGGTTGATGAATAATAAAAGTCTAATCGTCAAAACTCTCCACAAACTTTAAGAATAATAAGTAGTAATATGAAAAAAATAAAAAATAAAAAACTATAACTTTTTAAAAATTTCAAAGTATTGTGATGCTAAAAGGCAACTATAAAAATGCATTTAAAAAGTTTATTTTCTTTTAAATGTTTAATATTATGGACATAAAAATATGATAATATTTTGTATTAGATTTAAATGGAAAATAATAATATCATTCACTGCACGATGTGTACAAAATGAATGGTAGAACAAATATAGGTATCCGAAGAACAATAAAGTTGAATAATCACGTCTGTAGTATTAATTATCGTTTAAAAGCGACTAAATGTATTATTAAAATACATTTATGAACATCACCATGATAATATAAAAAAAAATCAACTAGATGTAGATAATACTATGAGTTTGATCTTATTATAACGTATTCATGCTTTATATGGTCTCTTTGTTGTACTAGTATTAGTAATATTTTTAAAACTATTAAGAACTGACAAACTTTATTTATTATTTATTTTCTTTTTTGCAATGAGTTTACCAACAACCCTTTTCAACGGTTAGACATTTGTTTTTAATAACACATGGTCAAAAAAGCCGATACATACATAATTTGCGAATCGATAACGTTTGACACATTGTCATAATTTTACCAAAGTGAAAGAAGTTACTTGGTAAGGTTGTTTTTTAATCAAAGTTTAACCGATAATTATAACATTTGCTTTTACGTATAAATTATGGTAAAATTCCCAAATAGTTTGTTTTGAAGCCGATCAAGTTATGAGTTTTCGCACAAAAAAAATTATTTATTTTAGTTTTACGAACATTACGAGTATAATAATTAAAAACGACATACATTTTTATCGAAAATGTTTTAAAATGTATATCATACATATTAAACAGCAATATTTTTTAAAAATAAAATCGTAAAAGAATGTGTACGAACACAATTTAACAATGAAGTTTCAAAAGTCAGAACTTTACAGAGTAAAATAAAATGAGTTACCAAAAGTTCTCAAAAACGGAAGGCCACCATTATATTTGCGGCCTGGAGATCGTGATCCAACTGTAACCGAATATAAATTCATGATAAGAATGTAAATTAAGTTTCTTATTGTACAGAATGGACTAAGATAAAAAAAAATATAATTTATATACGTATTTAATATTTATATTGCCAGTTTTATCTAATAGGTTAGAGTATTTATTTTAGATCGTTACGATGGATTAACTAGTATATGTACTATGTATAGGTACCTAAAAAATCAAGTAAAAATCAAGTTAGCCATTCATTTAAATTTAACAGATAAATCTCTAATAGTCTAAGCGATTCCTTCCGAGATCGTCATTAGTTTATATCTTCAATTAAACAAAATTGAGCTATGAAGAGTAATTCTGCGGTAAACATATTATGTCTACAAATAAATTCAGTCCAGATAAGGTTTAGGGATATATGATATATTTATTTACGTTATTAGGATACAAAAGCGTATCCCAAGAGAGTTACTGTATAGGAGGATGGATCAGTAGGTATAAAAGCTTAGCTCTTAGAACTAAGTAATATCTTTTTTTTAATGACATGGATCTCAGATAAAAAGGTCAATTAACATAATTGTACGCTGTAAAACAAGCAAAAAGAGAAACAGGAGGAACAAAAAGGAAACAAAAAGTATATACTATGTCATGGATCCATTATGAGTCCAATAAAAATATAATATTATGCATTGCGTTTAAAACTTTGGTTTATATTTTTATTAAGATAATCGTTAATGCTACTATAAATAAAATTTTTCACGCTTATTTGGTCATGACATCATGATAGGAACGATAATATTACAGGTATACAGATAGTATAAATAGATCTAAGTAGTTTGATGTTGTTTGTTTAAGTATCATGGTGTGGTCAATATGTTAATTAGTTTTTTAATACAAACGCAACAGAGTCGACAATTATCGAATCAGGCAAAAAAATATATTGTTAACAATAAATAAATAATAACAATAATAGTGTAACGATAAATTTTATCCACTAACACTGTAGATTATTATAATATCAAGCCCTCGCGGTAAGATCATTGCCGTCGTCATCGTCATCGTCTTCACTCACCTCGACAGTTGCGAGTTTCTCAAAACCAGCTCGTTGTTTCTTGTTGAAAATATTGCCCAATGTAAATCCATCAGCATTTAACGTCCGAGGATGCCAGCGACTGAAAGTCACATCTTTCCTGTGAGCTGAAACAATATTATACCAAACATTTAATAGACCCGGAAGAAACGAGATCGAATTGGAAAAATAGTAATAGGAAATACAATAAAAAAAATAAAAATATTTATAAGGAACGTTCTGGTAAATCCTGTACATTGTTAACCTACGGATGGCTACTTATTCCTTTCATCTCAAAAGTCGTACAAAACACGTTAGTTTAATAAAAACCTTTTACTAATAATAAACCAAAATAAAAAGAATAATAAAATAATAAAGTGAGTGATTAAAATATGTTTACAAATGTTCAACGTCTAAAACGTTTTGGGCACTTTACTTCATCCTCATTGGTTTTACTACTTTGAACCGAATTCTAAACTTATTTGTTTGGTATAAAAGATTTAACGGGATACACAACTACACTGTTGATGTATTTACAGAAAACTGTTCAAGACTGAATCATAATAAATCAAAAAAAAAAAAAAACTCTTTTTAGAGAAGTTATCGATTTTTTGGTAAACAATTAAATGTATAAAATACAAAAAACATTAGACCAAATAAAGCATAGCATAAAATATTATATTTGCTTACAAGCCTTGAACATTTTAAAATTAAATATTTTAAACTATCGATTAATCTCCTTTAGAATAAAAATATACATAAATATAAAACATAGGGGCTTAATGCATAATTTATTTCATCAATCAATAAAAATATTGACATTATTAATTGACAATAATAAAAAATCTCTAAGTGTTACAAAATTAGCAAAATAAAAACAGAGAAATGGAATAATATAAACAATATATCTATCAGATAGGAAAATCGAGTATCATAAATGATTGGAAAATTTTTCTAGAAATTTTATAACTTCAGCAATAAAATTTTGGAATATTAAAACTATAATGACAAATTATAATCACATATGTTCCTAATTGTATGAATAGTAAATTGTATTCAATTTAGGTATTTTGGAATTATTTTTTTATAAAAACCAACTATATACTTATATACATTTTATTGTAACTATAGCTAAAATAAAATTTTCTAAGTACCTACTCAATAAATATTTTTAATAAAAAATGATATCTCATGAACATATAAATCAAATGTAGAATATTAACTTTATTCTTGAGTCTCAACTTAATGATAAAATAATTCATGGTAAAATTAGGTCTAAAATTTAAGAAAAATTACTTCAAACGAATATGTATTGATATTTGCATTATAAATTAAATTGAATAATTAATCTTAGAAAGAATATATTAAAGTTGCCTATTGAGAAAACATATTATCTTATAAAAAAATAAAGAGATAATTTCTAACATTTTTCATCATTAAATTTACGGTATGTAATTCAAAACAAGCATAATTTTAACATGTCAACAGTGCCCGATGGATTCGGGGCTCCATATATATTAATTTATTAATTATTCATATTAATTTATATTTATTTATTTTATTATATAACTAAATATATACTATAACTATATTTTGAACCGTCATCGACAATAAAGAATTTTACAAGTACATGCGTGTAAAATACAGAATGTATAAATTATTTGTAGCTATGAATAATTGGCACTATATTATTTTTCTTTAGTTAAAATATTTATAATACATAAGTTATGGAGTTTTATACAAGCACAGGGCCTGGTGCAGTCCCACTGCTTGCTCCTCCCACCTTAAAGATGGCACTACATTCTATTCTGTATTAAAAAATCAGTGCTAAATATTTACAAAAAAAAAAAAAAAAAAAAAACATGCCTTGATCAACATAAAAAAATATCCTTAAATAAAATAAAATTAAATAAATTATTATTATTTTTTTTTTTTTTGCTATAATCAAGATGAAAAATAACTATAAAACTAGCTAATAAATCTTGCTTTGTACATATTATAATTGCAGTTATCAAATAAGAAGAATATTATATCTTATTAAACTGATTCACTTTATCAGTATTAAGTGATAACCTAGTTCAGTAAGAAGTATATGTATGTTTATACTTAAAATAATACTGGGTATTATGTACATACATAATAAGTACTTTAAAATATTTTTATTTTATTTTCTTAATGTATGCACTAACCCAAGTATAATATATTACCCAAGTATATTTTAGATTATTTATTTAAGATGATTATAAAATATTTTATTAACAGTCATGTAGCATTAAAATATATTAGGTAAATATATATATATTTTAACAAAGTTATTTTTAATAACTACATTTATTGATTCATAAAATACTTTTAAATTATTTTACATAAAAGTAGTTTGATTTATTACTTGAAAAATCATTTAAAAATTAAATTAAACATAGCTTCCCAATAAAAATAGAGTTATTTAAAGAATCTAAGTTTATTTATTTTTAATTATAAATTCAGAAATTACAAAATATAACTTACATTTTGTTAACTTTTATAAACATGGATATTTTTAATAAAGTGTTAGTTAATAAATAGCATATTAACTTTGACATTTATACTTCATGTTTTGCAATAATTTTGATCCAAACTAAGCCATATTTAACTATTTTATTTATTTAAATTTTAAACTACTGATATTCAATTGTCAGTAAAATAAAAAAGTATTATAAAAGTTCTGGTTTGTAAATTTAAAAGGAAATTTTCAATAAGATTTATAGTTAATAAATTACAACAAAGTATAAATAATATAAGTAATAAAAGTTTATAATAATGAAATAGTAAGTTTTAAATATGAATGAATTATAACTAATTAAACTAAAACTACTAGTTAATACTGACCCATTGATTTAGTTCTAGCATATATTACAATAGTTACAAATATGGCAGCGGTAAAGAATAAACCTACAGCAATTATTAGCATAATTACTAAAATTTGTTTGCCTGTATTTTCTCTCAGCCCAGGGCAATCTGAAAATTAGACACAGTAACATAAAAATAATAAAATAATTATAGTTAAATTAAAATAATTTCTACACAATTTAACTTAAAGGAAAAAATGTTAATATATTTTCAAATATTTATAAATATTTATCTGTTTATATTAACAATAATCAGAAAGTAGATTCTATTAAAAATTTCATGACAGTTTGTTATAATGAAATTTAAAACTTAGAGTTAGAAATAATTAAATAATGTAAATTTTTAACTAATTAAATTTTTTTCTGCCATAAGAACACATTATATATTTATATATATTTTAAATACTGATAGAAATTACAATTTTATTGAATACATTTATTAGAAAAACAGATAATAGTATTGAAATATTAATACCTAGTTTATTATGACCATTGGGAAAAAAAAAACTAATTTTTAATTGTATTATTATTTATTATCAAACAAAGTTGCAAATAAACTTATTTATCATATGAAAATAAATGTAAGTTACTAATATTGATCTTTTAGATATTATATGGATGGACGAAAATAAATAAATGGATGGATAAAAATATTGTTCTCGTGTATAAAACTTACTTTTCAATATGTTATATTTGTACAGCTTTAGTTCATGTTCTGAAAAATTAAGTGGAGTAAGACTTTTATTTATGTATAAGTTTTGAATGTCTAAGTCTGAAACATAAATATAGCATTAACAAAGATAATCCAATTAATAATCAATTATTAGTATTATTTACCTAACTCAAATTTTCGTATATGAGATCTTACGAGTTCAACAATATAAACAGATGTTCCATCAGGGCTAATAGCAATATCATGAGGTCTTACAAATTCATTTTCATTAGGATGAAATCGCCCAATAACTTCTAATGATGTAGCATTAATCACAATTCCTTGTGATAATATTTCAGTTGTAATATCCATATTCTTATCATTGAGTACATAAAACACACCATCTAGAAATATAAATAATACATTTACTTTAAGTGGGATGTATTTTATAAGAATTTATTTGTATAAAACCAGTTTATAAAAAATTAATAATAAGATATATTTTGTAATTCACTATTGTTTAAATAAACATTTCTTGAGGATATAATAAAGTGTATAATGCTTAATCTTAACCATTAAACTATTAATCATTTATTAAAATGTGCATACCAGCTATTGGTGAATAAGCAACACTGAAAATACGTTGAAATAAATGTGTATTAATCTCAGATCTGAAGGTTCCATTATTAATATCGAAACATAATACTCTGCCATTTTCACGGTCAGCCACACATATCAAACCTTTATCTTCAGCTAATGTCAATGCATGAGGAATCCATAGTTGATAAGGAGGCAAAGGCAAATCTCCTACAATTTGGTAAAAAATAGAATAAATTATTTAATAAATAAACAAACTATTTTTTCACAGTTTGCAGTCCTTATATTTAGTTTTAATACATATTAGGAAAAAAAAATTATATTCTTTTCATATGAAAAAATCTGTTACAAACATTTGGTTGTGTACCAATTTAAGAATTTTATACAGTTATTTTTACTTTATAAATGTTCTATTAAAAATATAATTATCGGTCTTAATTGAATATGCCACTTATTAATAAAATTTAAAGCTAAGTATAGAAATTTATCATACAAATATAAATTAACTAAATAATTTATAATTAATTATTTATATTATTTTTATATATTTATAATTCAGTTTTGCAATTTCTTGGTACATATAGTAAAATGTATCAGTTTTTATTTAAATTAAATAAAGAACTAATTCAAGATCAATATTAAATAGTATAGTTCTACAGTTATTACTGGAAAAATAGAAAATGAAAGAAAACTTAACTAAAGAAAGCTATTAAACCGAAAACGTGAAAATAATTTTAAATTAAGAACATTTTGAACCAAAATATTATAACTGCATAGTTTAATTATATTATTTAGTAAGAGATAAAATTAATCATGATATTTATTACTTATTTCTACTACATAATTTAAAGTTGTAATTGCAATTTTAAGTTAAATTAGTTATTCATTATAAATTAAAAAAAAAATCAGATATGTGTATTTGATATTGGTTATTTGATAAAAATTAATGATTGCATTTAAATTTTAATAAAATAAGTACATATTCAATAACAATCATAATATTTACATTACAATTTAGTATAAAAAACTAATATATCAGTAAATGAAATTTAAAATCCAAAAAAATATAATTTTATGCGTTTAATTTTCTTATTTTCATTTATTCAATACATTTGATAAATAAAATTCTTAAATTATATTTAATTGTATTAATTAATTTGATATTATATAAATAAATGGTTAATTATTTAAAAAAAATAGCTATTATTTTTATTTTTTCTCTGAACATATATTTAATTTAGACAAGTTCCATTATAAATGTTCACTGCTATAGTTTTTTTTTCTTTTGGACATATATATACATGAATACTTCAGTTTTTTTAAATTTTAAATAAGTGTTTTACAAAAATCATTATTAGTTTTAAAGAATATGGCTGCATCTGTTCATAATAAAAAGTTACCATTATTTATCAACCTGATACTTTAGTGGATCGGCCCCATTCCAACAGTATTCGTCCTTCAGCAGAAAATTTAACAATACGTGAGTTGCAATATCCATCAGCTATATAAAATTCACCATTAGTTGTAACGGCCACTGATGTTGGTTTACAAAACTTATTTAAATCATTTCCAGGTTCAAATGCAGTACCCAATGTCATTAAAAGATTTTCAGAACTACTTTCTAAACTAGGGCCAAATTTAAACACTTGATGAAGAGCAACATCAGTAAGCCAAACATTATTTTCATGATCCACAGTTATGCCATGAGGCATATAAAATCTGCAAAAAAAAAAAAATAAGCAAAAAAATAACCGAAGTTGAAAATAAAATCAAGCATTATACCTGTGGCTCCCCCATCTTTTGATAACTGAGCCATTTCTTGGATCAAGTATAACAACTGCATGTCCAGATATTGGTCCTTGAGATCTATCCCTGTAAACATCATTTTCCAGAAAAGTGGATTGGTTCCATTCTCGATTACCTCTATGGAAAATATACACAAGATTGTCTTTGCTAATAGATACTCCAGATATTTGACCTATACTGTTATCAATTTTATTTGGAAAAGGCCATTCAGAAGATTCATGTAAATCTGTTGAAAATACAAGAGATATTAAAAAAAATAAATATAGACAATATATTTGAGGTATTCTACCAATAATGTAGTTAGCAAAAACATTTATATTCTAATAATTATTGTATTTTACCATATCAAACATTGCATACTGATATGTACTATATTAGTCATTAGTATGTTTTAACATACAATGTGAGAAACTATTTGATCCATTAGTAACATAGGGCATGGACATAACTTGGGAATTTTATATGGTGGGTGAAAACTTTATTTTATGTTAAAATACTGTATATTTAAAAACTAGATATACTTAATCTTCATTATGATGTATTATATAGAAAATACCATTGAGCAAATACATTTTGATTAATCCATTATTTTTTTTTATAGTTATTAGTTCAAAAAAAATATTGTAAATTATATTATATGTATAAATATATATATTTTTTAATAAAATAATTCTTACAAATCTAAAATATATTTTCGATAACATTTTTCTAATTAGTTTACAAAAAACTAAAGAGGGCATTGCCCTGTTAAATTATTAGGGGGAGTTGCTGCCCCCTCTCCACAGTTTTAACCTATGACTAAAGGTATTAAGTTGAAATAAATATAAAATAATTATGTAATTATTATAAAATATAAAGAAGTTAGATTTTTATTATTATTTTAAAAAAATAACAAAAATATAGAATTATCAAACTCCTCATTTAAATTAAACAAATCAGAACAATATTTACTGATTCAGTTATTTCTTTTTAATAAGGTTGTATATAAATTAACTTTAATCAGTGTTTTAAGCTATACAGTATAATGGAATAAAATATTTTCTATACTTCCAATTAGAAAAATAAGTTTGTATAAATGTCTTTGTAAGCTCTATAGCTTAATGCTTCCTAATAATAAGTGATATTGTAGATAAATCAGAATAATTATTCTATGAGTATAACATGAATTTAATATAAAATACTAAATTTCAAAATGTTTTTATTAATACTAATCAATTAAAAACATTCCTAAGTACTAAATTATAGTTTATTTTAAAATAATTTTAATAATAGACTGAACAAGATTGATATTCTGGAAACTTTATAGCTTTAGTTAGCCTACCAATGGTGGAATACCTGTTGAATGTTTCTTTAATAGATAAGTACTTACGAAATTGATTAAATACATCAATATTAGAGTTATCAGAGTTATCTGTATCATCCACTTGGTTTTGTCCATAGAACTAAAAATGAAAATAAACGCTCTAGTTATTATTTGGGAAAACAACTCTTGTGTGACTAGGTATTTTGTTTAGTATTTGATATTCTAAAAATTATAATTTGGTAATTTTCAAATGATCTCAATTTATATTTTAGACATGGAAATAACAAATGTTAAAATTCTAATGTAAAAATTCTAACATAACAATATGTTGTACAAATTAAGTAGATATTCAAGTAGTTTATTATACATTAGTTTACAGTAATCAATCTTAAGCTTCTTCAGGATTTCAGTAAATATTTTTAAATTTACTGAAATATTTAGATACAAAATTCAAAATTAAGAAAACAGTATGTTATGTACTTAAGATATTGGACACGACAGTAGGTAATGGAAAATGTTCACTAATGTATTTTGAACGAAGGACAAATTGAAATAATGTGATCATATCCATGGGACAACTGTTCACTTGACGGGTGAAATAATATTATGAGAATGTTCATCAGAACCTAGAGTTGCACCACCACCACCACTATAACATACAACTGATGCTGACCGAAGTAAAAGCACAATTGTGACATTGAGTCGGTCAGATGGCTGTATGCAGATGTTAGCACGACAGCCATCTACCTAAATAAGTATGGACCCTACCCAGGGAGTCAACAACGACCGTTGTGGGTACAACACCGGACGATTTGGCGTAACGTTACTCTGCGGAACGGGACGCGCTCACCCGATCCAGAGACAATGGCGACAGGTCGTTCGAAACAGCCGCACGGCAATAGCAGCAACGCGACAACAGGGCCAATACCGCAAGCGCTGAGGACCGCCTTGCCATCTTGTAGTCGTTCAAACGGATTGCAACATCTGTCTGGCTGTCCAAGCGGACAACGTTCACACCAGCTCGTCGGTTGGATATCTTTTGGTCCCTCGTCGCGTCTTATGTTCGGACGACAGCAACGGCCGATCCACAAGTCAGCAGCTGTTCGCCAGTCGCTTATCACCGCGCGCGTTCACCGACTCCACTGATCATAGTTCTCCGTCGCGGGACACGGGGTGAGATCGATAACGCGAGTGCCACGACCGCCATCTGCCGGTGTTACGGTGACGTAATAACATTTTCTTACGACTATCACGTGATGCGTCTGCTTTATGGTTTATTGCTGGTGGCGGATTGGCAAGGGATTCCGGGAACTAACTTAACCGAGAGCCCAATGTACGCTTTGTAAAATAATTTAAATAAACTGCTCATAAGATTTATTTGTCAGTGCAGTGGGTCCCAAAAAACATTATTGGTAATTTATCATAATTTATTATTATTATTTATATCCAGGACTCGAAAGTTGTAACACTAAAAATGTGACTTTTTAGCTCTAAAATATGCACTTAAAACTTAAAAAATATGCGCTATAAATAGCACGAAAAATCATAAAATATGTATTTAACATGAAAAAATTTTAAATTTATTAGAAAACAATTTAAAAGTTATTTTATAAATTGTTGGGCTCGTAGACGTTGAATTATAAACTAATAATAAAAATGTTAAAATACTTAAATATATATGTAAAAGAGTACTTATAATTAAATTATTTTACACATTTACCTGGGAAATCACTCTCGATTATTAAAACGTTTAATAATCTAATGCAATGATACAATAAGGGAATAACAATGGCATCACTAACTATTAATATATCAAATTGTTGATGAAAACATAAAATAATATTTGATGAAGTAATTTATTTCCAATACAAATATTTTTAAAAATATAACCAAGTAAATACCATTATTATCAATAAAATGCGGTTATTTCTGTATTATTTGAAAATATAATTAAAGGATATGGCTGTGAGGATTTAGAGGACATTCAACCTGCCGTAAAGTCGGTGTTGAAGACTTTAACTTCTGGAAACTTCTAGGGGTGCTTCCAGAAATGGGAAGAACGTTGGAACAAGTGTATTAGACTCGGAGGAGAGTGCAATGAAGACATGAGTGCATAAATCATTGTAAATACTAAATAAATGTTTTAAAATTAAAAATTCTTTGTTATTTAATTTATTTTAATTTGATTTAATTGTTATTTAGGCTGCATTCGAGTTGGGTCCGAAAATAATACTAGTTTTAAATTTTGTACGAATTGGGTCCGTGGGAATAAAATTTTTTGTCTGAATTGGGTCCGGGCGTATCAAATGATGCGTTTGAATTGGGTCCATGGTACTCGTATTTATACAATTATATAAAATAATTATATTATATAATTATTATAAAGTACGAATATGGATTAAGGACGTACTTTCTGGCAATAAAATGATATCTTATCGTAGTAATATACAGTACGAAAATAATATTTTAGATTAGGTATTTTCTGCCGTTGAAATAATAATCAACCAGATGACGAACGATTACAAATATTCACGGAATATTTATTAAATAATTATTTACATTCTGACGCTAAGTTCCCTTCAAGATTATGGTCTGAATTTAAGCCTAGTACAATAAGAACTACAAACGCATGTGAATCCTTTCACTCACACTTCAATTCTATGTTTTATTCTGCTCACCCAAGTATATATCAATTTATACACGTTTTAAAAAATATTCAAATAGATGTTTATATTAAAATGAGAAGTCCAGAAGGAAAAAGAAGAAACTGTATAATATCTAAGGAAGAATTCGTAAAAGAAAAAATGACAGAAAAAATATTAAAAAAAATTAATTGCTACGAATTCGTAAAAACTATGTCTTATAAATTTCAACCCTTAAATTAAAATATTATTAACCATTAAAAATCAGATGGACGACGAACGATTGTAAATCAGGAAAAAATTAGAAACAAAACATTTTTAACCATACCTGCAGTAACTATAGATGTTATTATAGACAGTCCTAAGTCTGTAAAAATGGGAAGGAAAATGTTTTTTATGCGACCCAACTCGTACAGTAGACTGGTTTACACGGGACCCAACTAGTACATTAGACTAGTTTACTCGGGACCCAACTCGTACAGTAGGCTATTTTACACGGGACCCAATCAGTGAACAATCTGAATCATGGGACCCAACTAGTATGCGCCGGTTATTTAATTGTCACACCTCGTAATTACAGTTTAGTTTTCGTTATAACACCATATAGTCATTTAAAAAATGCCGAAAATGATTTTATTTTATTTTTTTAGGACCCATCTTTAATGCTTTTTTTACGCTTATTTGTAAGATTTATAAAGCTTTATTGCTTTTTTAAGTACTATTCTTTAGTTTTTTATTGTTTTAAAATCCGTACTCTAGTTATAACATAACCTACATTACGGGTCACAATAACGTGCGGATGACCGCCTTGTGCCCAGTGGCAATTTCTCGTTGCTGGTGGATAAACCGTTTCGCGCCAAATATAAAATTTAAAACTCATATTTTTAAATAAAAAAATTATATGTATATATTTAATGATATATAAAAAAAATACATTTGACTGTACATAATAAAAACATGAATTTATTAAAAATAATTGTAATAATAATAATAATAATAATAATATTTTATTTTTTATTTAAATTAATATAAAATGATTACTGGGACTCACTGAAACAAACTCGTGTGGAGGCCCAAGGAAATAATAATAATAATATTAATGTATAAAAAATGTACAATATATTTTATAATAAAAAAAAAATATCGTCAAAGGCAGTCTTCGTCTTCACTGCTGCTACAATTGCTTTTGTTGGAATCAATTGTTAAAATTATGGGCTGTAATATGCAATTTCTGAAACATTATTTTTCTTTTTCTTCTATATTTTGAAGTTTTTTTTGCGTTTCTTACACATTTTTCCCAATTTTCTTTAATAATTACATCTATGGCTACGTGCATATTTTTTTGACATTGACTATTTTGAATGCTGTATTTTTGGTTGCTACTTCACATTTTGCCTGTGCCCAAATTAGTTTAATCGGGTTGTATTGACAGTGATAAGGCGAAAGTCTGATCACTTTATACCCCATTTGATATGTCAACTCGTCCAACTGGTATCGTTTTTTACCATTTTCGTTTTTTCTCTAAGTTCCGCCAAGGTTTCTGAAGGAGAAAAATAGATGCCTTTTTCGCTTAGCCATTTTTGAACATCAGATTATTTTTGTATTTGATTTTGGTACATTCTCTACTAGTACGCTGTGATATGGTGCATATTCATGATAATTACATATTAATTAAAATAATAATATTTTTGCATTTTTAATTTTTTTTTTCCAATAATATTTTATATAAATATTTTTTTTTTGTGCTATCATCATGGTAATTTTTTTCTTAAATAATGGTCAAGCTGTTTTGTTAATTAAACTGGTAATTTTGTTTACTTTTTCTTTAGATAATTATTCATAAATATTGTATATTTTCTAATTAAAACCTAAAATTGTTGTCCTTGCATCTGATGATAAAGCTTAAAACCAGTTCAGGACAAATTTTATCCGAGACCTCTAATTGAGTCTTATGGTGGTGATGAATAACTCATTAAAAAATTAATGAATGTTCCTAACAAAATGAGATCCTAAATAGGTTCTCAAAAATAATAAATAATTATAAAAATTGTCATTCCACTAAATTTAGCCAAAATGGAATATATGATATTAGAATTAAATTATAGAATATTTTTCAGAAACTTAATGTGAAAATTTTCTTACAAAAATCATGACCACTTTAAAGTTATTTTTTTACAAAAAGATCAAAAAGATTAAAATTATTATAATATTTTATTATATCACAATGAAATTGAATAATTGTTATATATTCTTATTTGAAACAATAGCATAATAAAAATTAAAAAAGTAATATTTTCTTATAGTAAAACATAATAAATAGGTAATTGTTTTCGTTATTCAGACTTTAATTTTGTAGATATGATATATACTCGTATTTTAACATATTCACTATATTTAGTTTATTACATTTTTATTATACATCGTCTTAAGTCATGTTAATTTTTATTAGTAGGTAACTAATCTATACATTTCATAGAACGTTGCAAACGTTTTAATAAGTTCAAAATTTTAAACGTTTTTTTGGGTTTTTTAATGCAGAAACAGAAATGAATGATATATGGAAAGATTCAAAATGTTACTAGGTAACAAATGTTTATGTTTTGTTTATAATTTCTCAAAATGAAAGCCTGGATAACGTTTATGACTAATTTCGTAGTTTATTAATGAAGAATTTTACTAAAATGATTGAAAGTTTAATCTAGTTACTGTATAGTCTCTAGTCGCCAAAAGCACGCTTTTATTATAATTAATTTTTTTTTAAAAAAATCGTTTATGATTAGAAAGTTACTAATCCATGAATCTCTGCTCTATTTTTGATATAATTATATTATAAAAAAAAAAAAAAACATTAAATTGTGGGGGTACGTCAACGTAATTAATTCGTAATTATTTTTCATACCTATGTAATTGTAATTTATAGGTTTTTACATAACTCATATGATATTCTTTTTAACCATCAGCAAACATTTCAGAAATTACATATAGTTATGTATTGTTATAATAATATCAGTGTGAAGTTACATAACGCTATAATATTAATTATACGGTTAATTAATAAATTATTTTTAACAAAACATTTTATATATTTTCAATATCACTTCAGTACATATTCACTATTATATTTTATTGTGAAATAATAGTTTTCTTATACTTTTAAAACCGTGGTAGAATAAAAATAACGAATATGTTGGTAACACAGTGACACATAAGTAGACATCTTGTCGACTTAAATCTACTTTTTCCACCTCGTTGAGCGATGTTTTTATACAGATAAAATAATATTTGTTAAAAAAGAAAAAACTTCTTAACAAGCCAGTAGTATCAAGATGTTATACAAACAACAAAAAATATAGAATACTTAGAAATACTCGACATATCTCATTTATGAATGTTAGAACTTGTCATGATAAAGTTTTTAATAATAAATTTTAAGTTATAATCACCATTTATACTATTATTTATTTGTATGGACATTTTCTAAATAATGGTGATAATCTATGAAGTTATTTTAC